CTCTTTGTACTTTCAATCATATTTCTCATTATATATTCAATAAGATTTCTCATTATACTTTCAATCATATTTCTCATACATTCAATCAGATTTCTCATTATACTTTCAATCATATTTCTCATTATACATTCAATCAGATTTCTCATTATACTTTCAATCATATTTCTCATTTTACTTTCATATTTTTCATTACACTTTCAATCATATTTCTCATTATACTTTCAATTATATTTCTCATTATACATTCAATCAGATTTCTCATTATACATTCAATCATATTTCTCATTTTACTTTCAATCATATTTCTCATTACACTTTCAATCAGATTTCTCATTATACTTTCAATCATATTTCTCATTACACTTTCAATCAGATTTCTCATCATACTTTCAATCATATTTCTCATTATACTTTCAATCATATTTCTCATTATACTCTCAATCATATTTCTCATTACACTTTCAATGATATTTCTCATTATACTTTCAATCAGATTTCTCATTACACTTTCAATCATATTTCTTATTATACTTTCAATCATATTTCTCATTATACTTTCAATCATATTTCTCATTATACTTTCAATCATATTTCTCATTACACTTTCAATCAGATTTCTCATTATACTATCAATCATATTTCTCATTATACTTTCAATCATATTTCTCATTATACTTTCAATCATATTTCTCATTATACTTTCAATCAGATTTCTCATTACACTTTCAATCATATTTCTTATTATACTTTCAATCATATTTCTTATTATACTTTCAATCATATTTCTCATTATACTTTCAATCATATTTCTCATTATACTTTCAATCATATTTCTCATTACACTTTCAATCATATTTCTCATTACACTTTCAATCATATTTCTCATTATACTTTCAATCATATTTCTCATTACACTTTCAATCATATTTCTCATTACACTTTCAATCATATTTCTCATTATACTTTCACTCATATTTCTCATTATACTATCAATCATATTTCTCATTATACTATCAATCATATTTCTCATTATACTTTCAATCGTATTTCTCGTTAGTCATATTTCTCATACATTCAATCATATTTCTCATTATACTTTCAATCATATTTCTCATACTTTCAATTATATTTCTCATTATACTTTCAATCATATTTCTCATTATACTATCAATCATATTTCTCATTATACTATCAATCATATTTCTCATTATACTTTCAATCGTATTTCTCGTTAGTCATATTTCTCATACATTCAATCATATTTCTCATTATACTTTCAATCATATTTCTCATTATACTTTCAATTATATTTCTCATTATACTTTCAATCATATTTCTCATTATACTTTCAATCATATTTCTCATACTTTCAATCATATTTCTCATTACACTTTCAATCATATTTCTCATTACACTTTCAATCATATTTCTCATTATACTTTCAATCATATTTCTCATTACACTTTCAATCATATTTCTCATTACACTTTCAATCATATTTCTCATTATACTTTCAATCATATTTCTCATTATACTATCAATCATATTTCTCATTATACTATCAATCATATTTCTCATTATACTTTCAATCGTATTTCTCGTTAGTCATATTTCTCATACATTCAATCATATTTCTCATTATACTTTCAATCATATTTCTCATTATACTTTCAATTATATTTCTCATTATACTTTCAATCATATTTCTCATCATACTTTCAATCATATTTCTCATTATACATTCAATCAGATTTCTCATTATACTTTCAGTCATATTTCTCATTTTACTTTCAATCATATTTCTTCTCATTATACTTTCAATCATATTTCTCATTATACATTCAATAAGATTTCTCATTATACTTTCAATCATATTTCTCATTATACTTTCAGTCATATTTCTCATTATACATTCAATCATATTTCTCATTATACTTTCAATCATATTTCTCATTATACTTTCAATCATATTTCTCATTATACTTTCAATCATATTTCTCATTATACATTCAAACAGATTTCTCATTATACTTTCAATCATATTTCTCATACATTCAAACAGATTTCTCATTATACTTTCAATCATATTTCTCATTATACATTCAATAAGATTTCTCATTATACTTTCAATCATATTTCTCTTTGTACTTTCAATCATATTTCTCATTATATATTCAATAAGATTTCTCATTATACTTTCAATCATATTTCTCATACATTCAATCAGATTTCTCATTATACTTTCAATCATATTTCTCATTATACATTCAATCAGATTTCTCATTATACTTTCAATCATATTTCTCATTTTACTTTCAATCATATTTTTCATTACACTTTCAATCATATTTCTCATTATACTTTCAATTATATTTCTCATTATACATTCAATCAGATTTCTCATTATACATTCAATCATATTTCTCATTTTACTTTCAATCATATTTCTCATTACACTTTCAATCAGATTTCTCATTATACTTTCAATCATATTTCTCATTACACTTTCAATCAGATTTCTCATCATACTTTCAATCATATTTCTCATTATACTTTCAATCATATTTCTCATTATACTCTCAATCATATTTCTCATTACACTTTCAATGATATTTCTCATTATACTTTCAATCAGATTTCTCATTACACTTTCAATCATATTTCTTATTATACTTTCAATCATATTTCTCATTATACTTTCAATCATATTTCTCATTATACTTTCAATCATATTTCTCATTACACTTTCAATCAGATTTCTCATTATATTATCAATCATATTTCTCATTATACTTTCAGTCATATTTCTCATTATACTTTCAATCATATTTCTCATTATACTTTCAATCAGATTTCTCATTACACTTTCAATCATATTTCTTATTATACTTTCAATCATATTTCTCATTATACTTTCAATCATATTTCTCATTATACTTTCAATCATATTTCTCATTACTCTTTCAATCAGATTTCTCATTATACATTCAATCATATTTCTCATATACTTTCAATCATATTTCTCATTACACTTTCAATCATATTTCTCATTATACTTTCAATCATATTTCTCATTATACTTTCAATCATATTTCTCATTACACTTTCAATCATATTTCTCATTATACTTTCAATCATATTTCTCATTACACTTTCAATCATATTTCTCATTATACTTTCAATCATATTTCTCATTATACTTTCAATCATATTTCTCATTACACTTTCAATCATATTCTCATTTTACTTTCAATCATATTTCTCATTACACTTTCAATCATATTTCTCATTATACTTTCAATCATATTTCTCATTATACTATCAATTATATTTCTCATTATACTATCAATCATATTTCTCATTATACTTTCAATCGTATTTCTCGTTAATCATATTTCTCATACATTCAATCATATTTCTCATTATACTTTCAATCATATTTCTCATTATACTTTCAATTATATTTCTCATTATACATTCAATCATATTTCTCATTATACTTTCAGTCATATTTCTCATTTTACTTTCAATCATATTTCTTCTCATTATACTTTCAATCATATTTCTCATTATACTTTCAATCATATTTCTCATTATACTCTCAGTCATATTTCTCATTATACTTAAAGTCATATTTCTCATTTTACTTTCAATCATATTTCTCATTATACTCTCAATCATATTTCTCATTATACTTTCAATCATATTTCTCATTATACTTTCAATCATATTTCTCATTACACTTTCAATCATATTTGTCATTATACTTTCAATCATATTTTTCATTATACTCTCAATCATATTTCTCATTATACTTTCAGTCATATTTCTCATTATACTTTCAATAATATTTCTCATTATACTTTCAATCATATTTCACATTACACTTTCAGTCAGATTTCTAGTTAAGCTTCATGAGATGTCCACCATTTTTCTTACAATGTCACAGTGATGCAATTCCAAAGATGGAAAAGCAATTTCACTGGCTGATGAGGTCTTATATCATGTGGTGATAACCTGATCACACATATCCTGGACGTTTTCAGCAATTGGTTGATATTCTCCTGCTGCATTATAAAGTAGTGTTAACATGATTTTTGATGGTTTTATTTGTTGTTGTAAGCTTTCAATATTATTTTGTTTTGAAAGGTTGCAGAAAATATGTCCAAATTTTGAGTTGGAAATTGATATTTTAGTTTTACTTATATAAAGTTTTAGTGATGTACCTTTTATGAATAACAGTGGGCAGTGAATCATTTAACCAGACCCTTGTATGGTGGAGGGTACACATAGCTACATAAAAAGTTGGGTCTAATTAGACTATGATGAGCCTTTGTGTAAAAATAATAAGATCACTTTTTCAGTCCTGAAATTCACTGAAACTATACAAATAATTGGACTACTTGTTCGGTGTCTAAATTCATAAAACCTTAATTTGGGTTTAGTTTTCTTGGTTTTATCTTGACTTTTAATACATTATTCACTGTATCATGCTGAAGAAATCAGAGCCATGTTCCTGACCCAAGGACACACAGAGACAAATAACCTTGACCAGACTGTGGGGCTATTAAACCATGACCCTTAAATTACAAGTCTGATGCTCTACCAATGGAGCTAACATGGTTTTGCACAAAAAACATGTGAACTGCTTCCCACAAAAGCATTCAAAGTGCTCCCAACAAAAAATCATGCAAACTGCTGTGCACAAAATTATGCAGACTGTTGTTATCAAAATCATGCATACTGCTACTGTCAAGTGTATGTATGATTTGGATTTTTAAAATAGCTATAACAATTTTCAGTCATATCACAATGATGTCTGCAGTGTGGAAGTTTATACTGATGTCTAGCACTGGGGCATCTTGCCTCATGGCATGTAGCATGATGTCCCACCCAGTTACATTGTCCTGACACCAAGATGACCAGTCCTAACATTAACCTCTTAATGCTGAGTGCCAAGTGAGGTAGCTGCTAGTTCCATTTTTTGTATATCTTTGGTATGACTCTGCCAGGGTTCAAACCTGCAACCTCCCACATGTGAGCTGGATACTCTAACCACTGAGGTCACCAAAGCTACTGTCAAAATCATGTAAACTGCTACCCACAAAAATACATGAATTCACAGTTGTGACAAAAATGTTACCAGTGTATTGTTTTTAGTAGACTCAAATGTGTGTTCATTTTTATTTCAGTCTCAGAGGGACTCTACATCTAGTCAAGAATTAGAAACTGCAGTATTAAAAACACTTGAAGTGTCTAAAAATCTGAGAAAACAGGTAAGACTGTGTTAATATAAGGGAAGAATAATGAGTTGAAAAGGAATTGAATATCAAATGCCACATTGAACATGTAATTCCAAACTGATCATGCAATGCCAAATCAGGGACAGATCAATTTTGAAAATCCTTGATTTTCCATGGGCAGTGTGCATAGAAAATCTGGTTACCCAGCAGGTTTTTCTGTTTATCTGGCAAATTATTACAGTTGTTCACCAAGATCGGTGTTCTCAAAAGTATTCAACAACATTGTCATAAATACATTTAGTTCCTGGACCTTAAACGTATCCATATTTTATCTAAGTATACACCGTAACTTATATGGGCAAGTTTCAGAGTTAACAGTTGATGATTATACCATTTTAAGAATTTACTTGGAATTAGCCAAGTGTTTTTTGGAGGGATTTAACAGAGGAAGGTGGAATTTTACAAAAAGATGCTTGGCCCTGTATGTGAAAAACAGATGAACTTAAACAGGAAGGTTATAGAAAAATGAGGAGAGGGTGATGTTGCTATTTTTGGTGTGAATAAAACAGGAAGCCAGAAACTTCAACCATTGGTAATATTGAAAAATTCAAGTTGCCATGGTATTTTCATCATAATATCCTTATATATTTAGATTATCTGACACTGCAATAGCTAAATATGTTTTTCAAAAAATAGTGTTTTGATTTAAAGCAGAGAAAACTTTAGTGGTATGAAATTTATGCATACAGTTTAATGACCTTGGGATGTAGATTTGTAGACATACTATAAATGTTCATTATCCTTCCTTACATAAATCTTGTAATATTATTTTTACATTAAATTTCAGAAAAAAATAATGATCTGTGGCAAAATGACCAAATACTTTTCTTCTGTGTGCATATTTTTCATGGAACTATTATGGATTCAGTCTTATAGATGTAGTGATATCAGCCAGTGATATCAGTGTACACCTGCATTTTAACTATTCATGCTGTAGACATGTACCCAATGCAAATTTTCTGATTAAAATCAAACATTAAATATGCAATCTCCCAGTTTTCACTATTTTTCCTTGTATATGCATTGATTTAAGATGGTAACTATACTACAGAAGTAGTTTTGAGCCAGTGTCTGTCACCCCACTCCCACCCAGTTTTCTTTTAGGTGTTGAGCCTAGTGGATAAATTTCTTCAGTTACATGATTTGTTTGGCTATTATGCAATACAGTCCAACAGCTATGTCTGACATGAATAAATGATACAGTATATTAACATTCACGAAAATAGGTGAACACAATTAATGCCTGCTGTGAATGTAGACAATTGCTTTTCATTGGTGCTTTCAGGGAACAAAATACGGAGTTGAGGAAAGATTTACAGCTATGACTGTTGGTTAATTTTGTGTGAGATCAACACCATTATTTTGTTGAATGTTAAAATTAGAGAAAGGTTTTCCAGGTTTTGTCACTCAATATGCACTGATGAAAAGACATTCAGACCTTTTCTTCTGATCTGTACTGAATGTTTTAAATTCTTGAGAAATTGGGGTTTGATGATAGGGGGAGGGTATGTTAGATTTACTAGCAATAATCTATCGAATGCAAGTAGTATGCTCTTTGCTTGTTTCTTATGCAGTCAGTGGGTCAGTTTTAAAAATGGGACATGACTTTAAAGAAGGTGTTTGTTGATTAAGGGTGTGTTGTACATTCTAAACGAAATGACTTCTTTTCATCATAGTCAACCTGGCATGGTCAAGTATTTCTCCAGCGATTCTGTAAAACCTGAAAATGTTTTTGTTATCACAGTTTGCATCCATTTTGGACTAATGGATGTTTGAGGTCCTGCAATGTAACTTGTGGCAGATGAATTATATTTGGTTGAGTCTTTTTGTCCTCTTTGGGAAATCCATATTTAAACAAACTAATAGTCATTAGTCTAGAACATATGGTGTGCTGATACAATTGATGCTAAGTTTAGTTGTTGTTGAGAATGGACAAACATTTTATTGGCAGAGTTTTAGCATAGACTGGTGATCCACATATTGTATACTAAATTTGCCAATTTCCAGTAACATTTAACACCATCACTCTATCACTATCGATCAAACACTTTTATAACTCTTTGGAAACATTAAGGATTAAAAAGTACATTTTCTTCCATTTTAGAAACCAAAAAGTAGCTAATATATAACAAGTCCAAGGCTAAAAAGAAAAAACACTTAATACTCCTAGATCTCAGACCATCATAAATTTCAGGCCCTGAAACTGCTGTATATGAGTACAAATAGGGTTCAGTGGCAAACAATATACGCCCTGATATGAGATAATATAATGCACCTGCTTTCCTGTTTTGTAGATTTTTATCTTTTAACATTAAGATTTTCCATAATTATCCTTTTGCATCAATTTGAAAATTTTTATACAGTAATAACTTTGAAAATTTTTTTCTATGATGAAAATTTTCATTGTATTTTTACTTTATACAAACTCAGAATTGATAGCAGTGTATCACAGAATGTTTATTGATTATTGTGACTAATTATCACACATGAATTAGTGAGTTTTAATATGGTTTGTTTCAAAACTTCATCAGTGATGACCTAACATTTCCACTTACAAATGTAAACTTGAATTAGTTATACAATTTTCATTCATGTTGGAATGTAACTAAAACTTTTTACCAAGTCTTTGTAACAAGCATTTTGATTGGTTAAAATTGCAACATGTGATGCATAATGAAGTTATTAATTCATGCTACATTGTATTCATCTTCTGTTGGGATTTGAATCATTCTTAAAAAATAATTAAAATATTGATCTGCTCTTTCTTGAAATTTGTTATTGTTTTATAACTCTATACATGCATAAGAATTGTACTTAATATTTACGGGAATAACCTTGAAGGTTGTAAATCAAATATCCACTATGTGTGGACAGCTTTTGCTTAGCTGACTGTTTTCAAGCTTCATAACTTTATGAATGACTGAAAATATGAATTTCATATCTTTAAATCTTTTCATTACTTGCAGTCTTTGTATCAGAAGTTAAGATAGGGACCAATAACATGACTTATATGTCTAGGCTCATTCAAAAGTAACAAAGAAAGTGAAGCCAACACTCTTTTGCATTTTGTAAAATTTAACAAAATCATTTATTTCTCTAGAGAACAAGGTAAAAATACAAAAAGGACTTGTGGTTTGTGAATCTTATCCAAAATTTAATCCTAGAAGTTAAAAATGTAAGTCCTATCACTAAAAAGTTTTAAATGAATCAAAGTTTGAATCCCAATGATGTTCCAAGATAGAAGGTTATGACATCTTATATATCCTGTTTAGTGTTGTCATGTCAACAGTTCCTTGATGAATTTTATGAATCAAGAATAGTATTCTGGCTCTGGAATTCTGAATAATTTCCAATAAATGTCTTTGTCCAAGAATTCAGATGAAGAGCACTTGTATGTTTTTCAGAGAAATTGATTACTAATTCTGTAAACTAGAAAAAACTTAACTCAAACTGGTCACAACACAAAATACCTTTGAACTCTGAATGTATTAATTTATGACTGACTAGAAAAAACCATGAAATATCACTTCATCTACAATGCAGAACGGACCACATGATCACTCTCCTTCAAGAGTCGTTGTAACATCATATGTCAATTATCACCTTCGACGAATTTGATTCTACTGAATGAATCTTACAGTGATTCAATACTAAAAAAATATATAAAAAACTTGTTTACAACAGAACTAAACTGGCCGGCCTTGAAATCTAGGTTACCAAAAGATACAATGTTTCTAAAAACTGCATATTTGTCAGGTTTAGCCGAACTGAACTGAATTTTCTGGAAAAATGTCAAATCCAATGAATAAAGTTTTCATTACAATAACATGTAATGAAATAAAAATAAAATATTTCAAATTAACACACAAGTAATTAAATTACATATATGTAGCAGTGACATAGTAACATCTTTCAAAATTTGTGAATTTAACCATTTGTGTTGCCATGAACTTTTTATATATACATTGAAATAGAGGCAGTTAGCAAAGTTATGATTCAGTTACTAAAAGTGATAGAGTAGACTTGGTATAAGGAACACTTCCAAGAGGTAGGGTAGACTCATTACCAACTGCATTTTTCCATCAGGAAGGAACTCTTTTATGCTTACTATAAAAATGCTGCAGTAAGAAAGATCATCCTAAAAAAACTGGTTACATGTCAGTTTTGGTTGTCAATCAAAAAACAGTATTCCATTTAGTACATTCCATCATAATTGCTAGCCAGCATGAGTCCTTTAAATATAGAAAACAAAAGTTGGCATTATTCAGTGATTTACAACGGTAAGCATCAAAACTAAAATATAAGATATTGTGTTATGAATCGGCTTGTTCAAAGTAACATAATAGAAAGAGTGAAGACAACAAGCTTAGTAAATTTTAACAAAAAATAATTTATTTTCATAGAAAACATAAAATAATGTAAATAATTTAAGCAAGACTAACACTTTACAGAAATGATCCAAATTTTTGTTCAAAATAGAAATTTAAGTCATGTAATAAGTTCTAAACACAGTCTGAAGTGTGTGATGTTCCGGTCCAAAATGGCAGATGACCATGTCAGACGAAGGCTAACAGAAAATTCCAGAATTTACACAAAAAAGTACAGTTAGTGTTGTCCCGTTCCGATTTAGAATATTTTCGGGATAATGTCTTTTTGTCCAAATCAGTAATGTTGTTCTCCAGGAAAACAATTATTCATAAAAATGAAGTAAAAATAGCTTCTCTAACAAGACACGTTGTTCTACATAGACATATGATTAGACAACTTCTTCT